GACTTAACTGAACAGTGTCAGGCAGATAACACTGAAAAGGACAGCTCTGCTGGCTGGAGGCCCAGCAGGGAAAATGCTGTGGTCTGCAACTTTGCAAGGAGTTTAAAAGCTCTGATGTAATCTGTAAGTCACAACTCATCCCAGGAAGGGCTAGGGCTTCCTCCAGTCTCCATTGGGATGACCAGAGTTTAGCCTGTGCATTTTGAGGCGAGTGGGGAGATGCCTTTGAGACAGCCTGCAAGGTTATTTGAGGTCACCCCTTGAGGTATGACCTTGCTCACTGGTTTGTTTTGCTGTGACTCCTAGTAGCAAAGGAGTATCTCTGTATGGGAAAGCATTTTCTCCCCCCCCTTCCCCCCCCCATCCTGTATGTAGCCTGTTTGTAGTGCTTCTGGGGGTGGAGCGACAAACCGCCCCTGTCTCTGTGCAGCTTGAGTCATCCTGAGATCTCTGGCTGACGTCTCTGGTTAAGCTGGGCATGCAGGCAGATACAAAACTTCACCCTTCTCACTTGGATCTTCTCCCCAGACTGTATCATGAGGTCTAGGTCAATGGAGGAGTGGAGTATGTGGGCAAGAGCCGTGGCAGTTAGGTATGTTACGTGTATCCAGCTTGATGTCGTGTTAAGGCACAGCGTTGCTGGTAGCCTGTCTGGGTCTGTATTCTGGAAGCTTCCTGGCACTTCTGATTCATGGGAATGTGGAAGATGATCTGTCAGTTGGTCAGTTCTGTTACAAACCAAAATACTAATTCTGTAGCCAAATGTTTTGTGTCCCAGTGCGTCATACTAACTGCCATCTTCAGCCGCAGCTGTTCATGGCCAGTTGTAGCTGAGGTCTCGGCACAAATGCAACAGGGACGGAGGTGTTTGAGTGTGGCAGGATAGGTGAATTTGCATGTTCTATGTTAATTCTTGCTCATAAGAGCTTGAAGTATCTCTGACCACCACAGTTTTATTTCAATTGAAGAAACCCTGTTTGAGGCTCACAAGAGTGATATTAAAGATGTTGAAGAAAGAGTTGTTCAGATTTCTTTCATGCATACACACACACACACACACACACACACACACACACACACACAATGATCTTTCCTGTTGTGTACTAACCCTTGCAGCTAACTAGAGTCTGGAAGAAACTTCTGAGAGCAGTGCAAGGGCAGGCTTGTTGCAGCCCCAGGGTAGAAGCTGTGCTGCAATGTCTCCTCTGTGAGTATCTGCTGGTCTTTGGTGCACCCTCCAAGAAGTGTGTGGCATTTTACTTTCTCACAGAGCCTCCTCTGGAGTTGCCCATTCTTGCTATAAATTTAAACTGTCTTCTGGAGAGTTCCTATCATTCATTTTTAGTCTTCACTCTTAACAGGGCAGAGATGTAGGACTTCAAAGAGGTGCCTATTCAAGCAGCAGTAGTGAAAAATCCACCTTAACTCTAGAGACCGAAGCCTCTTTTCTATGAGGAAGGTGCTGGATAGTCTTAGGCTAAGTCAACATAAGCCTATTACAGCCCAGATCAGAGTAAAAGGTTTTAGGGACAGTAGTTGACAGAATTAATTGTCATTAATACCTAGTCTTGCTCTATTCTGGGAGTTGGGTTTTTTTCACGTCTTTTACAGGCCAATTCAAACTTGCTGGCAGAGCAGAGCAAAGGCCGAGCAGAAAATGTGAGTGCAGCTTTCAAATGAGTAAGCCAATTTTAGATGGCACAAATCTTGTTATTGTTCCTGATGTCACAGATGGAGCAAAAATTTCACCTTGCTCTTGCCATTGAACTTCATTTACTTTTTTGTTTTTGTTTTTGGTCTTGTCTTAGTAATTTTGAATGAGTCTTCTACTAATGAAAGTGAAAAGTATTGTAACTACCTTGTGGAATCAAGTTCTCCAGCCTCTAGAAAGGGCTGCAGTGTCACGTGCAGTGCCTGGTTTCTTTGTTTTCTGTGGAACTCTGGGTGTCTTGTGCATGTGTACTGCAGCTGCTAGTGTAACTAGCTCAGTAGGCCCTAGATGTCATTTACTATTGCATGACTGGCTTTCCAAAATGCTCTTAATTTAGAAACAGTTAGTTACAGTGGTCTCATGGCTTAATGATACCTATCTCTCTCTCGCAAACACTATATCCCTGTATATCTATGGAAATACAACCATTGTATGTATCACTCCATGGTATAACCACACTGTCAGCATGAGATTGTACCCATCTAACTAAATGCGTTTACTAAGAATTTAATCAGTGGAAAGTATGTGTGGTCCAGACCAAGTAAACTTTAAAAACTCACTCTCAGTGCATGCTAATTGCTGCTTCTATATCCAGGATGGCTGTTACAGGGAGCTGACCAAAATTCTTTTTTTCTTCCAATTTTTTTCCTCTACAGAAAAAAAGAGGTTTAATTTAAAGAGCCAGAGGACAGTGTTTTTTAATTTTGGTCTGTTTCTCTTAGTGGGAAACTTGGGCGTTTCATTTTTCCTGGTGAGGAGCTGATTAAATCTTCGAGCTCTCCCCCATCCCACCCAAAAATCTCCTCTGCTTTAGATTGCAGAGCTGCAAAAAGCATGCACTACAGAGGATGCACAGAGAAGCAATGCTTTTACAGGTTAAAAACGTTGTGGAAAGTTAGAAAAACAAGTGAGAAGACCCTTCTTGTAGATATGATTTTTATTGCATTTGGTGTCAAAGGAGGTGGATGCAAAATTTAACTTCAAGACGTTTCAGAGACAGCTTTGGAGCCTTGGGAAAACCGGCTCCACTATAAAGTCTAAAAGAAAAATCTCTTTTCCTTCTGTGAATGGCATCTTTTCATTCCCAAGCAGTGCCACCAGTGAGTGTTTTTGCCGGTCAAATCCGGACTAATACTTTTCAAGGGAGTGGGTGGGTGCATAGGATGACACCTTGACATGCTGTGGCCATATTACTAGAGAAATTATGGTGGCTTCTCTCTGGCAGTGCCCAAACCCTGCCCCCTTCACAGTGTTCCTAGGGATTAGCGGTATATGCTCAGCATTAAATGGCTTTTGCATCACTAGTTGGCCAGTGTATCCTGCTTAACGTGGCACAATATCAAAACTGATATGGTGGGTTTGAAACTATTTTCCTCTTTCAGAGTTCAAGGCAAATATCATTGAATGATGACATTGCCTGTGATGGAGACATGTTCCTGGGAGTAGGACAGATTCCGTGGGATAGCAGGCAGTAAAGAAATGCAGCTTTTTGTCAAGGTCTTAGAAAGCTTTCTCTTTTCATAGCTGCCTTCAAAAGTCAGTGGTACCAACTACTCTGTGTGTGTGTGTGTGTGTTAAAATGATAGCAAGTAAGTAAACTTCAGCCTAGAGCATACAGCCTTTGCAGTAGGACTGCTCATTTTCTTTTTGTGATTTGTAGCTCAGTGTGTCAGACATAAAATAACCTCAAGGCAATAAATAAAAAGTGGCTGCTAGGAACAAAAAAGCTGCAGAGGCTGCTTTAGCTCACTAAGTATTATTTAAAAATGAAATGTACATATTCTTTATTTTGTAGTAATACACTGTAATTGCTTTACAGAGTCCAGCATTATCAGTTGCATGTAAAGACTACAGATAAACTTGTCAAACTGGAGCTCACAAAACTAGTGCATTTATCCCAAAGCAGACTAAACCCTCTAACTCCTTAAAAAAATACATTAACGTACCACACACGCGCGTGCGCACACACACACCCCCCCCACATATATTGCACTTTTCTCCATATGAAATTTTTACCCCATATTTATCACACCAAAGTCTCTTCAAAGGCTCCTGTAATACAAGATAATAAAGCTAATAATTACTCTAGCAGTAGTATACACAGTCCTCTAATGTTAGACATAAAAGACTTGAACAAAAGAGCCACTTCAAAGTAGCATGAATACAAGGAGATGCCCAAGAGATACTCTGCTGTGGCACTAGAGGTCTTTTATGCTAGTTGGCTTAAAGGCCATTACACGAAATGTTAAAACAGGTTGTTATTTGAGGGGAATGGCCTAAACTACATTCCGAAACGCTATTAACTTCCCCCTTGCCAGCACTGCAAAGCTCAAATCAGCTTACACTAGTTGGCACAGCCTGACAAAGGAATCACACAACTCCTCAATTAAGAGCAGAATTATTTTTGCGTCCCTATACGTACAGTAGCCTAGTGTTGGATGGGGAGGGACATGGTTGTCGTTATGGCAGTAACCAAGCTCCCACTGCAGAACTGGGCCTGTCTCCATAGGTGTTATGTGTCTCATTAGCAGTTTTCTCTTGTGCACTGGGTTTGAGCTCAACACATCCAAACAGTGTTACTTTTATTATGCTGAGGGGCCAGGAAGAAAGAATGAACGGACAGGACCTTTTTGTTGCCTCCTTTCCTCTTTTGCAGTAGTGAAATGCCTGGCTGTTGGTCTTTTGCTGTGCTTTTCAGCTGTTCCCCTGCTCTTTATCACTTACGGGGTTATATGGGTTTCTGTGTTCCATAGCTATTTCCTGCTTCAGAAGAGGGTTTTATTAAATGAATTCCCTCCAAAATCAAATGTGTCTAACTCAGTTGTTTAAAGTTTTCTAGCCTTTTCTGTCTTGCATCCAATTGAAAAGTGCATGGACGTGATCCCTCTTCTTTAAGCTTCCCTTCATTGACACCAGGAGACTCATTGTGTTACCAGAGGTAGAAGCTAAGCCCTCAAGAACTGAATCCAGCTGCACACCTGGACTAATATCAGAGCTTGGGTATGCATTGACAGGAATTACCTCTCCTAATTACTCTCTAAATTTAGTATACAGGAAATAATATGCCTTCTATTGGTTGTTAAACCTGTCCCGCCTTCAAGCAGTCTACAATGCAGTGACTAAGCTTCTACTATTCTGCATTTAAATCTGGTGTTATTGCTGTAAATGCTGGCTGATTATTCACCTTTGTGGTGAAGCAAAAGAGAGCAGCATTGAGAGTTGTTTTTTTTTTTTTTTTTTACTTCCCCTAGGGGGGGGGGATTTTGGAGGAGAAGGTAGCCTTAATTGGTTTCTTCCTCCTTTTGCTGCCTGTTCAACCTAGTGCTTTGCTGTAGTATGTGTAACACCAAGATGTTTGTCTATCAACTTAAAATGACCAGGCGCCCCTGAATACCCAAACTCTATTGAGTTTGGTGGCTACAGCCTCTTGACTTGTGGTGCCAAAGACCTTAGCTCACTGAACTTTTAATACCAGAGAAACTTTCCAGCCAACAGTGGTGTTTCCTATACATGTGATCCATCATTCTGTTTCTCCATCATTCTTTGTGCTTTAGTAATCGGCATTGTGCTTAATGTTTGCTTAGAAAAGGGCTGCAAGTTCCAGCTGTGGGGCTCATTTACAGGAAGGTAGACAATGCCCCACAATATTTAAAGACTGGAGACAAAACCCATATTACGGAGACCTAAACTTTGACTCCTGAACAATCCTCCTATGTCTAACATGTCATGACTGAAAGGTCTGGAGACACAAGTGCTTGTTGAGTTTAGCATTTGTTGAAATGGTTAATACATCAACAGTTCTTGATGCTAAATATTGCTGTAATACTTTCAACACTATATATACATGAGCAATCAAAGCACTAAAAAAGTTAAACGTTATGTTCCACATGGTGGAACGCGTGCTCTGAAGGGACTTTGGCTGTAGCAAGGATATAAATGGGGTATCGTCTACTTTCTTCAGAAAAAAGCATATAGTCTGATAAGGAACCGAAAAAGGCACAGCACTATCACTTCACAGAGGTTTTTTTAAGCTCATTGTTTTTATCCTTAAGTTCTAAAACCCTAAATAATTGTCCAAATATACAAAGCTCAATAAACCACCAGCAACGCATACTGTAAATTCAAAACACTGTTTGTTTTCCAAAAAAGCAACAAAAGGACAGATGAATCCTCTCCAGTGATCAGAACTTCTCCAAGACGGAGCACTCCACAATGGGCTGCCTGCAAAAAGGGTTGATTTCAGATGCCAAAGGCTGACTTTTTGATGTCACTGGCTGCAGTTCTTGACCTTCTCGTGGTATGTCTTACCCTCTGTCTCCCTGTTAACTAATCCTTTACCTTTTTGTATTCTGAGCCCCACCCAGAGGTCTACAAACCACTGTGGCACCCTGTGTCAGTTCCAGGTATCTTTTGACTAGGTCAGTATGTCACTTTGCAAAGATCCAGAGGCTTCCTTTTGTGGATGACTGAGAGTTCCTTGGCAGGCTTGGGAAATACTGTGTACTTGCTAACAGGAGGAACTGGAGGCTGCTCGAGATGCCTGGTGAGCTCTGAGACTTACTGTGGAGTAGTTCAAGATCAGTAGCTTACAACCAGCAATTTGATGCCAAAGTGCAACTTTCCTTTAAATCCACCTGACTATACTGTTATACGTTTGCCATCAGTGTAGACCCAAATTCTAGTCTGAATTTCAATGAAAACTATTGCTTTTATTGCCAAGAAGTGCAACGCAATATGCACTCAGTCTCCTTTCTCCTAGTATTGGATGAACGCTGCCAGACTATCCAATTTTTTTGGAAGGGGCCATTTCTTTCAAGATTCACTTTTTTTTTTTTCTTTTCCTTTTTTTCCTTGGTTCCTTCCACGCAAACTGGTTCTTTGTTGAACCAAACTGCACTCTCTGTTCTCCAGCCCCTGCTGCCAACAAGATGAGCTAGCGAACAAACGCTTGTAGCCATCCCCTGCTCTTTCCAGTCAGGTGGATTTTTATATCCCCTGTTTAATTCAGGGGTTGGAAAATTACCAGGAACTTTAGCGTGGGAACAAAAACAAAAATTCACATGCTTCTCCTTTGTTTGTCCCGTCTTTCACTCTCATGTTAGCCACCCCGCATTTTTAATTCACCAGGACATAGCCACTGTGCTGGGGATCTACAGTCTCCATCATTTCGCAGTCAAAGAGTCCAGGCAATTCTGAGAGGGTTAACGCATCATAGTTTGATTGAGACTCACGAGATGCTGAGCTGCTCTGGCTGTCAGGCAATGCTACATTGCTCTGTTGTGCTGGGTCCATGGAATACTGGCACTGGTTTGGGTAGTCTGGCTCAGAAGAGGTGACAACAGGCAATTCACAAGTCTGATAGGAATACTGTAACGACTGTGATGGCTGCTGCACCTGAATCGGTGATGACAACTGTGATGAGCTGGTGATCTGGGAAGGTGGCAGTGGCTCCAACTGTACTTTCTGGTAATGACTGAGGAAGGGGTCATATTGCATTTGTTCTGAGGAAGGCTCCATGACGGGGCTTAGAGGCTGCTGCAAGCTGAACTGTGTTGATTGCTGCTGCTGCTGCTGCTCCTCCTCCTGGCATGACAGTGGCAGTTGACTTGACCTTGGGTATGAGCTCTCGGCTATTTGCATCTGGTTAAAATAGGCTTGCAACTGGGACTGCTTCTGGAGAAAGAGTCGCTTCTGATGCAGCCTGAATCAAGAACACAAACAGCAATTATTTTCATTTTTTGAAGTGTTAAGGCAGCAGCGTAAGTAAGCAAGTTCTGCATGCCAGTCACTCGCACCGCTCAGGCAGGAGAGGACAGTACTTTAAACTTCCAGGGATGTCTTGTTTACTAATTAAAACTTGCACCGAACCAGCATATTTGTCTCTAAGCAAACGTGCGGAGGCAGAGTTTGCGGGCCTCTTCTTGATAACACCTTTTTAATCAACTAGTGAGCTTTTCCTGTGCAATTAAGTTAACCTCGTGCATTGTTAGTTTTGTTTACTAAGCACAAGATGCACTGTGTTTGTATTTTAAGCTCGTTATTCATTGCTGTGTATAACCTAGGAACTGAAGACTTGAGTATTTCTGGCTGCCAACAGGAGCGAACAAAGTCTTCCTCCTCCCATATTGCTTTTCTTTGACCTGCCTTTCTCCTTGTGAGCGTTTATGAAACTCTATGTTTTTGACATTTTACAGACAGGAAGAACTTACAACACAATGCCAGGTTATGTAGCTACCTTTGACAAAATCCTGCGATACAACAAAAGGGAGGTCTCCAGCCAGCCAATTCCCAGGGCATGCAGAAATAGGAAACCTACTACTGCAGGCATGCCTACAGCATTCAAAAAAGAAATCTATTGTTTCCCTGCTTACATACTAAGGTAGCTTATTTCTCTGCACATACCTCCTTTTTTTTTTGAAGTAAAGAAGTATATTAAGCTGCTCCGATGATCTAATACTGTCAGCTGAGTTCTTGATTAGGATTAATCAATGCTGCAGTTGCCAGGAATGGCCATAAACGAAAAAGTAATTCCAGATTGCATGCTTTCTTGAAATCAAGTAGTATTTTCATACCTGGCTCAATCATTCTGTTCTGTTGGCATGTAGCTGGATTGTCTTCCTTTTCGTACTGTGACCGTTTTGCAAAACTTAGGGACAGTAACCACCTTTAGTAGCTTGCTTGCTTGCTTGCTTGTTTAATGATTACCAAATGATGAGCTTGGTTTTGCAGCCTTTACTATAATTTTAATTGCCAAGCTTAAAGAAAAATAACTGAAGGCAGTGAATAGATCTGAAGCATCCTTTCATAATTCTATGTATTAGAGCAGACAGGATTCTTTCAGAGGAGCATCACTTCTAGACTGGTAGATCCTTTAATGACCAGAAATACTTGACTGACTTTATGTTTTCTTTACAGTAAAGTTATTGGGTCATGGGAATGAGACAGGAAATACCTAAATGACTGCAGGGCTTCCAGGCAGGGAGAAAGACATGATCCGTGTTCTGACTTACCCTAAATACTGCAATATACCACCATAAAGGGGGTGGGGGTGAGTACAATGCTATAAGCAGTAGGGTAGCTTCCTCCAACGCTTCTGTATGCCTGTTATCACTAAATGAAGCGTTCAGGCATTGGCAGTCTACATGCACCCTGGTAGTGCTGGCTGATAAAGAGCTCAAGGCACAGCAATTTGTAAACACATGGCAGAATTGCTGTCCCTCCTTTAGAAGTACTGTGTCCTTAGAGATTTTAAAGTGAAGTCTTCCCTCTCAAAGAATACCTAAACAGACAAGGATTGTCCCAGTTCTTTCATTGCTCTTGGGAGTAAGAACAAATAATTTATCTGCCTGTTTTGAAAGCTTCTCACCTGTGTTCCTGTAACTGCTGTTCCAGACTCCGGGGTAGTTCTTTGCAGTATAGCTGGCAGGTATTCTGAACTTTAGATAGCAGGGTGGGTTTCTGCAAGAAAAGCAGAAGTGCTGTTTTAAATTGTACTGGTTTTAATGCATCAGACCAGAAAGCAAGGGAACTTCCATAAATGATTGTCTGCCCTTATGACAGTTTAAGTGTCCACCTCCATTTTCAGAAGCTGTCATTATAGCTACTATCCAAAACCACAATCACTACCGCTTATTGGCTTCGAACTCTTAGATAAAGAATATCTCTGCATGATAGCTTGCATCATCAAAATCCACAGAAAGATTTCCTAAGTGAAAGGGAAGCTGCAACCTGGAAAAAAGTTTGGTTTTTTTTTTTTTAAACTGAAGCCATGTAAAAACTGATTTTAAAAAATGTAAGTGGTTTGGGGGGGGATTGTAATGTGTGCCCTTTATGGGGTGCAACACAAATAATAGGTATTCTCTAGCAGTTACTTCAAATTGCTTTAATAACCCTGTACAGTAACAGGCTGAGGAGGAAAACAGCAGCAATATAGTATGCTTTTTGCGTAATCAGGCTTAGTGTCCGACAAAAAAAAAAAAAAAATACAGTACAATTTCAATTTCAGCTGTTGTCTGCTAATTTAGCTTTTGACCGAGGAACATAACAAGATCCAAAAGGCCAGTTTGCTGTGTAGTAACAGTGCCTGGTTCAGCTCAGTGGAGGAGGGGCATGGTACCTGGAGCCTGTGTTGCAAGTACTGTGTTTCTAAGCTCTGCCGTCTGGATAGTAATGGGGGGTGTGCACCATTAGGGAACGCAGATGTAGCCTCCTGCTGCTGAGATGCTTCTTCCTGCAGAGAAAAGAGGAAGAAGTTTCATCCGCAGAAAAGGCTTACTTTTCTGCTTCACCCCTTCACGTATTTCTACTGACAGGGGTTCCACAGTTACCATGCAGACTGGGTCTCATGCTGTCACTCACCACTTCCACCTCATGGTTAGGAGTCCAAACGATAAAGCTTGGAACTCTCTGTGCTGTGAAATGCCTAGGGCTTACATCTCTAACTGAAGTGAGGTGTGGAACATATTTCTGACTGCTCTGTTAGGGTAAATGTACAGGGTTAGAAAACTGTCCAAGCTCTGAATGTGCTTTAGCACAGCCCTCCTGTCACAGCTTCAAAACTGAAGGCAAAAACCTTTCAATAATGGGCAAGAGAATACACACAGAGTAGGCATCTCTAGCAGGTAAGGAGAGTGCTGACAGGGGAAGGGAGTAAATTGTTGTCAAAAGAATACCATAAGCACTGCAATGTATTACTTTCAAATGGGAGATTCTTGTGAAATTGTTACAACTTTGTGGCTGTCAGCACTGAAGTTTTCCAGCAGTTAGAAAGTAAGGGAGCTGGACCTTTTAAAGACAGCAGGCTTCATCTGGAACATCAGACGCTTGCGTTGCCTGCGTATTTCTTACCCGCTTTATTGCTGAGCTCTAAGAGAAACTTATTATTCCGGTTTCCTGTGACCTGTTCCAAACAAGTAATTAGGGAATGGGTGGAAGTTTGATTTATGCAGTGAAAGGCTAAGTAGCTAACTGTTATATTATCACTCTGCTTTTGCACTTCTTGCTATATGACAGTTGTAACCAGACCAGCTCCACCACTGAAAGATGTTAGTTAGGCTTCGTGGAATCTAAAATATCCTTCAGACTAAAAATAGGCGTAAAATGCTGGATTCAGAAAGCTAATTAGGCCATGTCACTGACTATAAGGACGGTAAAGGCTAACCTGCAAACGCCCATTCCCTCTTCTGCAGGAGGCGGAATGGGAGAGGAGGAGAGTTTTATCTGTAAATTAGCTTTTCGCAGCTCCAGGACCTCTTATCCTCTCCTTATCTGTCCCAAAGCATTAGGTTCCTGAAAGATGGAGCTTGTTTATTTCTGGTCTAAGTACCTGAGGGGGACTATTAACGAGGTCCTGCAACTGGGTGGCAGGTGATGTCAGGGTAGGCTCTTCTTCTGATCCCATCTGTTCATATAGCAACTGGACTTTGTTCAGCTCCAGGATTCCTTTGGTTCGTGCCAGATGCTGAAGGTGCTGTCTAAACGCTACAATTCCTGGAGAAGAGTCAAGCAAAAACTCTTGTCAGAAAATCAGTTGATTCATGTCTGGTTAACATGGCAATCTGAGATCAGCTGAGTCACAACCCCCACCTTGATTGTTCTGTGAATAAAGTACATTTAGTACCATGTCTAGCTATAACGTGTCATGACAGAGGTTATAATTACCTTGTGTGAGCGATGTGTCAGAAGCTCTACGCCCCTCTCGGAAACTGACAGGAGAGCGGTTGTGGGTCTCTCGTTTTTGGGAGGTGAGGGCCTGCATGGCTGGATTGGCAGGTCTCAGGCCTATGAAAGGTGGTGTCATTCTGGGTGCTGGTTGGTTAGTTAGCACCATTTCTTTCAAGGAAGGGGTGTCTTCCAGGAAGCTAATATCTCTCTGAAGGGATCCCATCTCATACTCTGAATCAATGCTGCCCAGAGATGAGTTTTCATCCAATGAGTAGACTTTTCCTTTGACAAAAAACAAAAGCCAGAATAAAAGGAAAGTGCAGCAGTAATTCAGCAAAGCAAAGGAAGTGCCACAGGCTTGAGCTATTCCTGCCAACAGTGTCTCCAGTGATTATTTTAGAGGAAATGAAACAAAAAGCAAGTTTCAAAAACAAAGTAATTGTAATTTAACACTTGCAGGGCTGGAATGGGTATTCGCTACTGGTATTTACACTCTATCAAGGGTAAGACACTATGCAAATTATGTTCACTGGCTTATTTGGAGAGCATTCAGTGCTTTTTGTGGAGGACACGGACAAGGTCGTAGCCTAAGCCAAAAGGGTTGGTCACCTGGATAGTTCTGGAATACTGGAGCCTAGGGGGTAATGTTTCCTCCTGCCCTCTTCCCCCAGCCCCTCTTTAGGGGATAAAGTATTTGGGGGCACTTCATTGGCAGGTTGGCCTATTCTTCTTGGCAGAGACTTCATATGTTGCCATTGGATTAGTTGGGATTGTACAAGACCGTAGCCAGCTGTGAATTCGCTGCTTCGGTTTATATTGTCTATACAGCAGAGCTGGGGGAGGTGGGCTTTGGCCTTTATAGCAAATGCCAAGGAACAGAATCAAGAAACTCTTCCTTGTGCTAGTCCTCACTTTAAGTCTAGTGTTTTTCCTCCTTGGCTTATTAGACTGAGTGCTGAGAGCAGGAACTAGGGTCTGAGATGCCTCCGCTAACTTCTGTACCTGTGCCTGGCAGCATCACCAGCTGGTTGGTAACTTCTGCCAGAGTGTGACGTCTCTTCCCACAGCGAGTTGCTTGGAGGGCTGCAAATGCCTGTGCAGGGTCATCCTCTGACTCGCCTTCTGTCTCTATTCCTTCATCAATAGAAGTTTCCATCATGCTGGTAGGCAGTGACTGGCATCCTTTCCTCATCACCACAGGAGGTACGGGATCTAACAGACAGCCATTTACCTAAACACCACAAGAGAAGACAGACAGCTTTCAGTTAACTGGCACACAGTCCTTCCTTGGAGCGTAAGGAATCTCTGCCTGTCGTACATACTGAAGGCAGCCTAGATTCTTAAAACGTATGAACCCCCCCCAATAATCTACTACTGAGTTAAGTACGACTTGTTAAGAGCTGTAGAGATGACAAACAAATCCCTCCAGGTGAAGTTACCACTGACATTCTTTTAGTACTCAAGTCCCTAAATCTGAATACTCTTATTTCCACAGTATTGCGTTCTCCAGATTTTTTTTGGAAAGTCATTAAAAACCCTTGCCAGCTTAGTCACAACTATTACGTGTTTGTTTATCACACTCAAATAGGCAGTATGAAAAAATAATCTTCTCAACTTTAATTCTGCAGTGTTCTTACAGAGCTGCAGAGACGTGTTTAACAACAGCACAATAAATGTACCCTTTCCAGCAAATCCATGTGATTTATACTGGTCATCTGCTAGCCTAGAGAGGCTGTGGAATCCCCATCCTTGCAGACTTTCGCAGCTCAACTTCATAAGGCTCTGAGCAACCGCATCTAGCTTTGAAGTTAGCCCTGCTTTTGGCAGGAGGCTGCACTACATGAATGCTAGAGGTACCTTTCCAGACTAAATATTCCCAGGATTCTACTTCTATATTTCGCTTCATTCAGTCTTTATATTACCAATCAGGTAATATAAAGAGTCAGGTCCCGAATCTTTCTGGGCCTTAGCTACTTCCTCTCCATAGGCAACTAAATGACTTTGGTGGACCATGGCCTGCATGTCACACAGTATTGGGAGAGGCTGGGGGTGGTGTAGGTGATGTATTCAGTTCTATAATACCTTAGAAGCTCTAAACAATTTCCTTTTTGCAGTGTGGACAAGTATTACTCACTCTTACCATTTTTGGTAGGATCAGGTTGGGTAAAATACAGGAAAAGAACAGCTCATTTGTCTAACATCAAACTTCACATTAAAGTTATGGTTTATCAAGTTTCCTGCGATGTGGACATGTATTGGTTGAACATTTCTAAGTCAGACAGCCCCTGAGCATTATGTATGCATCAATACGCTAATTAAGCAACTCTAATCCAAAAGACATTCCATAGACTTTAGTAACTGATGAGAACTGATGTTAGCCTAACTGGATGGAAGTAAAAAGAAACCATCTCTGCAGACGTTTCATGTTCAAAATGAAATTTTTCCTCTTCTGGACTACCCTCTGTAGACAGAACACAGTCTTTCATCACCTCCATGGCTGCTGGATGCTAAGACAGGATTGCTAGGGATATGCTTATAAAAGTATGTGAGGCAGGCAGCTCGCTGCAGTTTACCGTGGCGCGTGGTTCAGAGCTTGGAAGTCCTTAGCAGACACCTTCCATAATACTTGGCCACTGAAATATTCCTAAGGCAATTGTGATTTGATGCCTCACAGTAGTCACCATTTGTTGATTTACTCACCCAAACCACACCTAGAAAAGCAAAAACTCAAAGGGATTGAGGGAGAATGTGAAATAAAGTTTGTAATGTTAAGAGAAATTTGGAACTTAACTGCTTTTTGCTTTCCAGCTGTAAGGGACCACACAAGAGTTACTTAAAACAGTCATGAGAAATGGGGATACCCTCTTAGTGTCAGTAACTAACCAGTAAACGAGGTATAAAACCTTCAGAATGGCAAGCATGAAATCAAACCCCCTAGCTGGCAGCAGGCAAAGTACAACAGGCTAAAATTAAAGTCATAATGGTGTGCTGCTATGAGAGACAGTAACAAAGATTTAATGCGCATAATTTGCTTCATAGATGCAGTTCTGTAAGCAGTATCTCCTTCCTCACAAAAGCTCCTGAGTCCTATCCATCCAGCTCCCATGTCTTTGACTTACTGCTTGCTATCCTGCAAAGTATTGTCACAGACATCAAAGTTGGATGGCAAAACTTATCAGGCTGTAGCTCCCTTCAGAGTTAAACTGTAACCACACATTTGTAAGGCTCTGGAGCCGCCGCATCCTATTAGTTAAGTCTGTTAACTGTGGAGGTGTGGGAAGCCTACACAAAGTCTTCGTCTCATTACAGGAAACAAAACCCATTAGATGGGACTACAGTTTTACAAGGTCTCCAGAGAAGATTTCGGAGGTATTCCTAGTTACAGAAACGGCCTAGCTGAGATCAACTATATCTCATTTGAGATGCTGCGGTTCTAATATTTTTTGACAGGGTTTTTTGGAGGTCCTACAGGCTATTTACCATTGAACTAAAAATTAATAAAAATGTCACTCTTTTGGCTGGCTTACTATGAAATTGGTGGAGATAAGCACTTTAAGTGTATGGTTAATCAGTAGCTTTAGCTGACAATGGAAGCTTATGGTTAAGGATTCATTATGCTTGCCTGTTCTCATTTGTCTGAATTTTTGCATAAGTACCTAGCTGAGTAGGTTTCTCTAGATTTCATCACAAAGAGCGTGCTTGGGAATTTAGAGATGAATCCAATCAACAGTTTTTAGGGATTAAAAGAAGCATACATAAAAAGATGTAAATACACTACGGGTATATATATTACTGCTTGGTAGCAGAAGCTAAACAAACCTTCAGGCCTTTTAAAAATATATTTGAGACGAAGGAGAAAAAACCCTTCAATAGGTTGATTGTCTCTTACAAATGACAGTGCGGTACGATTGGAATGTAAGTAAAGAACCATGAGAGGCAGATTAGCTATCAGAAAAAGACGCAGCTGTCAAAAGTTATGGCAGAAAAAGGAGCATGGAATACCTAGAAGTCTCATGCTCAAAGAATACTTACATTTTGGGAAAGAGATACACTGTGTTTTGTCCAGCTAGTACAAGAAAAGTTCACATCGTGTGTTTGTACTAGAGGTCTTTGCATCTGAGCTGGCATCTATCCTGAGAGGTTACCCAGGAATCAGGGCTTGCAGGAGGTCAGAATTTTGGGGACCACATTTGCTTTAGAGTAAGTGCTTAGGAACAAGATGAGAATGTTGGAAGAAAAGAAGAAAAGGCTACTGAAAACAGAGAGAAGCGTCGGGTTTTCCAGCTGAGCTACCTACAAGCGTCCAGACGTAGGAGGCATGAACCACCGAGGTCTGTGAAGTACCATTACTTTAAATTAGCAAAGACTCTGGCCCAAACTCCCCAGTGCTTTGTGCTACGATGATCTATACTAACCTGGCAGCAAAGAAACCAATCTCCCATTAGTTACTGAAAAGCTGCATGTTCTACCACTAGCAGGGCTTTTGCTAGATAGTAACTTAAAAGAGCAACATCACGTTTAGTCTTACGGAAATTCGACAAAACGGTAGGCCAGTATTAAGCCATACCTTCGGTGTCTCAACTCTTTCTTCTTCCATAAATGCTGTCTCTGCCTGGCAGCTGGATGGAGGGAATGAAAAGGCTTCTGCACCTGAAGCAGGGGGCAGGCCTGGAGATCGCAGCAGCCTTGCGTTTTGTGAACGCAAGTTCACTGAGGGCACCACAGCTTGTGCCTGAAAGAGATTAAAGAACTCCAAAAACTAAACAGGTTTAGGTAGAAAATAAGCAACAACAAAACAACATACAGACTCACAAACTAAAACCAAACAATACCCATTCCATCTCCACAGCAGAAGTCTAAGATTTTTTTCCTCGTTCTTAATGCATTGCATTCTTAGTCTTTAGAGTTAAAAATAATAATAATAATAAAAGGAGATGTCTTATTAAGTCTTCCTAACTACTTATTGAAGTCAAGCTCTTACTAACAGGAAAGAGAGGCAAGGAAAGCTTTTGGGACCCTTCAGTGCCCTCCAACTTTTGACCTGCTACAGTTCCTTTTTACATGTAGTACAAAACCCTTAATATTACAATGAGGCATAAGGCTGCTTTACATGATCTTTCTAACACGCGCTGAATCCTGTAGAGCAAACCACGAGAAAGAACAGAGCCGGCTAGCTCTGAGCTAAGATATTTTAATAGAGCGCGCTACTGAAGAGAGAGGCGTGCCTCAGTGAACCACGGCAAAACTAGGAAATTAAGATTAACAATCACGTGAAAACCATTCTTTTCCTGAAATGCAGGATCCAAACAGCTTGTCTGTCCAAAAGAAAACAAGCCGCTTTATACAGGAGACTGTGGTACCACCACGTGTGAAAATCAATTATCTTGTTACTCCAGTGAGTACAGTCTGGAGCCAAAAGCAGGTAATGTGGCTAGAAAGTACAAGAAAGTTGAACGTAGTTCATGAAAGAACCACCTTCTGTGAAGTTTTCTCTTCCTCCTTGCTCATCTGTCTCCACCTGCTTGGAAAAATACAACTTCTATAATTAATGATCTGCTTTGGAGTAGTGTCTCTTTCTCTCACTACAATTACTATCTAAAAAACCCCACTGATTTTAATCTTTGTCAGCCATATTGTTCCTGGACTTATGTTTATAGTTGACGTAGTTTGGCTTTCATTTCAACAGAATCCAAATCCAAATAGTGTCTTACTGCCTCAGGCAAAAATGCAGCAGCACGGTTGCGTTTTCTCCTGGAACAAAAGAATTCTGACAGGATTTGGACGCTTGTTATATACCCCAGCAATATGGTACCTAACAGGCCATAGACTTGAGCAAGTATTTGCTCGAGACCATTACAGTCTGAATCATCTTAGGCCAAGTCTTTTGCAGAGGTCAAGTCTTACGCCTTAGTAGAAATCAAAAGCTGTACAATGTCTGTGAATCTTAATGAAATGGAAAAATATGTAAAAAAAAAATCTGAGAATTATTGGAATAAGGCGTGATGAACTGTACCTGACTTTTTTTTTGTGAAGGAAGTTACCCAGGAAGAAACAGAATAGCATTAGAGCCTGTACTGAACCAGTCAGTATAATTAAAGAGGATACCACATGGACAGTCTTCTGCAATGGACAGGCTGGCACCAGATCTAGGGAGCACCCTAAATTACTCTATAAAATACACGTGACCTCTTTAAGACTTCGGTCAATTAGTTGGTCGTCACATTGGCTCTGTGGCGTATGCCTGGTCTACAGAGGCTTTGCAGCTTGTGCTGTGAAACCTCCTGTGAAATGAAATTCTTGCTGGGTCACAGGAAGAAAAAGTGGTGCCAGTCTTAGCATGCTGAGATGACATCATTTAGAAACAAAGTCTTGAGCCACCAAGAATCTCATGGCAATGATATGAATATCCGGTACTTAGATATTATAAAGAATGGGCGTATTAACCTGACAGATCAATCCTAATATTTTTTCTTTGGTATCTCTCTACTGTTCTTTGCCATGCTTCATTTCAAGGGAGATAGAAGGCCTATCTGGAGAACAGCAGGGGAGAAAGTAATTTTAGTTTCAGCAGGTCCCTTTAGAATGCCTATGTCCCGTAACACTGAGTAAAGCCTGCGTGCTTTTAGCCTCCATGCTAGCACAGCTCCCCATAAATTCTTGTCGATCGCATTTAAAATATTCCAAGTATTGCACAGTCTCCAAGCCAGAAAACTTGTAGTTCTCCAACAGTTTACCCAATGACTTCCCCAGCAAAAGGTTACAATTTCTCAAAAATGGAAATGTTCCACCTAGAAGCCCAAGAGCACCATTTTTCCTTTAACTGTTATTTTCAAATTAACACATCGCAAAAAGACAGACCAGGAAGGCTAAGCGTGAACCAAAAAGTAGAGAGAAAACGAACCAGGAGTTAAGGCAGCTACCCGGTAAGGCCAAGGCCATTGTTTGTATTTGGGGCTTCAGGACGCAGTCAGCTTCCTTTCCTTAAGCTTCTCCCCTCCAATAACAAACACTATTTTAGGGTGGAGGCTAGTGGGGAGAAGGGGCCAGGTGTGCCAGGAGCCATGGTAGGATGCATGCCAGACAACTGGTTTGTCATCAGGTGGTTCTGACAGGAGACAAATACAAGTCTTGCCAAAATGATGCTAGGAGTCTACAGACTATAAAACTCAGAAAAAAACAACAGATTCTAAGTGAACCTATATAGAAACATCCTTCTGGGAGAGAAGAATGTCTTGTGCAGCCCTGAGCCCACCTCTGCTAGGAACGAGACGTTACCTTGGCTACTGTCTGCTCAGCGATGGTACTCGGCCGACGCTGCCGCGCATCAAGTCTCTGCTCCACAGGGAAGCTACTCCGATGTGATTTGAGCCTCTCCACCAACAAGTAATAGATAGCAGCGAAGTGGTTATAACTCTTGTTCTGCAGAGACTGAAAGAGAATCTCAAAAGTTTGAGTGCAGCCAAATACATGCATCTTTTATGTACTATGAGATAAGGAAAACTGCTTTCTAGAAGAAAAACAAACATTTAAGAGGCAATCGGGCAAACGTCGTCGTGAAGTCGGAAAGTTTCACACCAGAAGTGCCAGGCAAAGAAAGCATCAGCCTTGGTTTCACGGCCCTTGTAAGTGGCAGGAGCTTGCTATGTTCCAGGCTGCCGCATAACGCGCATAACATTCAGATGCTATTCTGAGCCCGCAAAGATTTGAACCTGTAGAAGGGACTGAGGCCCAGGACCTCCTGAGTAAACAGGCTATTCCAAATCGCGAGAAGCAACGGGGAACTGAGCCCCTGTAAAGCAGAGACACTAGCCTGTTCTAGCAGGAAGTATTCAAACGGCAGCCTCCACAATGGCTAAAAATAGCGACCATTCTAAAGGAAATGATTGTGTTAACTCCATAGGGAGTCTTTTAGCATTTACGTTTGGTAAGAAGCACGATTTGGGATTAGGAGGAGACAGTCAATTGCTTACTGCTCTTATGCGCCTTTTTGAATGTCATATTCCACCCTCTCAGAAGCTCAAAGTGAATTTACTTTCCCTTCTGCTTCCCCTCCTCTCTCTCCATTTGACAAGTAACGATTTATCCATCCCCCTCCAGGGAGTCGAATAGTGTAGAAGCCAATATGGCTCCTTGAGTTTACTTCTCTGCTGAAGAATCAACTTAGCGAGCAAACAAATCCCTAGAAATGACCATTTGTAAGCAGAAGCAAATATCAGCATCCTGACAGAAAGTACTATAGGGCTACCGCTTTTTAAGTAGTACACACTGTTTCTATGTGTCCTCTCGTCAAACGCAACTGAAACGTATTTTGAAGTGTATACGGGTTTAAATGAAAGTGAGTAGTTAATTACAATAAAAGACCAATAATCTAGTCCTGAGGGCCCTGGGATATACGTCCTTAACATTATTCTTTCCCATGGCTTCTAATTTGTATTCTTGACGCAGAGAGAGGAGTGTCATTTCCCTCACGGTGCTGCCTTTTTAATGGACACGTTTTTACTCTGAGGGGCAAGGGATGCCTTGGACTGGAATAGCTGGGTGTGTCCAGCAAAGAATAAGGCACGCTGGTAAAGTTGCTTGTGGGAATATTGCACAATGCTTGCCTTCTCTTTGCCTAACACAGACACCTTCCCCCTGCTACAGATGATCTTTAGGAAATATCTTGGAGGGAGGGATGTCGCTGCTCTTCCTGATCAGTCTGCTGGCACAGACTGAGGCATGGAAAGGACAGAACAACTACAAAATGCCTAAATGGGAAGCAGCAGCATAGCTTCTTGGAAATGTTTGCCCTTGCTAGGGTCTGACCTTGTGAAATAGCCTACCGGCTTTTCTTTTCCTAGCTCTTGAAATAAAGAATGTTGTAAGGAACTCACGTAATAACTCACAATAATAAAACAAAAAAGAAAGTGAGCTCCCCCAGGAATAAATATTGGTGTAAATCTGTTTTACCTCAATAGTTTTCTGTTGGTCTATTCCAAGGCTGTGCATTAGCCGCAAAACTTGCTCGTTATACTCTCCAATGGAAGGCTCATTCTCCTGTCCTGGCGGATAAAGAATGAGTCTCTGTGCAGGAACTTCTATAAGCATCCATTTGTGCTCCTTAATCTGAGCAATAGTTAACCTTTTGGATGGGTCTAGGACCAACATTCTTCTAATGAGGTGTTCACATTCTGTTGGGAAAAAATAACGTAAGTTACTAGCCTGCTTGCTTAGTGCTACTTGCATGTGTTCACCTGACACCTACCAATACAGAGCACAACAACAGGAAACTGGCTTGCTTCTACCTGATTTTGGTGCTAAATACATTTCCTGAAAGCTAAAACAATCTTTCAAAACAAGACTAAAAGTCACACTAGGAGGAGAAAAAAAATCAACTTCTTTAAATATATGGTATGGTTAATAGTGCCATTATTTCCACACAGCTGCCACACCACAAGGGTAACAGGTAATACTTAATACCTCTTTAAAGCCACTTGAGCTGTTCTAAGAACAGTGGCAACATTAACTAATGAAGCTTCAGAACACCTCTCTGAAGTGGGGGGAGGGGGGAGGGGGGGTAATTAGCATCCTTCTCCAACAGTTGGACCCCTGTGGTCACAAAAAACACAATTAAAAATGACGCCTCCTTGGGGTGTGAATAGTAGCCAGCGGCTAAGACTGCAGGCTTATATGTTTCAAATCCAGACCCAAGACACACTCGGTAGCTTTAGCTGCCAGAATGATTCTGAACACACCTGGCCATTGCTGCTCTCTGACCGCTATATGTTGGAAAGGGTAATGAAGATCTCCATTGGATTTTGGAAGCTGAGGGAGCAAGAGATGAACGTGTAGTTTTTATATGAGAGGAAGTCAACGCAAGTTACTTTAAGAGGGCTTAGCAATATGCCCTGTATTTCTAGCTGACCGTGATGTGGCTACAGTACAGTTGTACTGAACCAGTCCATTCAGGTAGTTATAACAAACAGTTGAGAGAGAGATTTCTGGCTATTTATTCCTGTTTATCTCCTTTGGTTTCACTGGTTTGCTAAGAGACACACCCTTCCCCACGCCCCTGCAACACCATGTGATCAGCAAGAGGCAGAGGGAAGCTGGAAGTGAAACAGCAGATCTACACCGCAGTCACAGCAATGATTGCAACTTGCATAAAGGTACTTGGATCTAGCTTGGATACCTATGTCGTCGCAGTCACAGAAACACCGCACAGCTCAGCAGAGGATACAAAACGTGCCCAGGAAGCTAAGGGGTTGCTCAGCTCCACTCTGTGGTACCATAATTGCATTGCTAAAAGCAACCAAGCGCTGAGTTAAGTAGCTCTGCTATAGCTACACTGCAGTGGCTATTTCCAGAGGCGGTGTTCAGGAGTACATACCACCAGAAAGAAAAAGGGGAGGACCAGAATGTTTTGCAGCACAGAACCCTCAACAACAGGGCAGAAAAAAAAATTATTTGAGAGATCTAAAAATAAGCATAGAAAGTAGTCTACTGAAAAAGCATTTGATTCAGGAAGGTTGGTTCTAATAATCCAAGTTTAGAGACCCTTTAATACAGGGAAGCTGAAGGACAGCATAAAACCCTGTGCAAAAATGGCCCCATTTGTTCTTGTCTGAACAGGCACGAGGGAGAGTGAAACCCAACAGATGGGGCAATTAAGTGAGGGAGAGATCTGATAGTCTCTCAGTCGCGTGTGGGAGTGCCAGAGATATGACTATGAGAATCTGGCACATGAATTCGTTGCGCACTTTTTTGCTTTTGTTTAGCAGACACTGTCAAAAACCAGGAAACACCCGATCCACAACATAAGTATGACAGTGATACTGCTCTCAGCATATTTTCGTTCCAGATTAAAATGTTTATGGCATTGGAGAATGAAAATCAACTGCTGCTCAAACGTACCTCTCCCTGTTGCACCCCAATATATTTAGTCACAGTAGGACAAGAGATTCTTCAGCTTCTGTTTAGAACCTCTCGTTGCCCTTGGCCACAGCCACGCTGCTGTCTGCGATGCACATGTGTTTCTTGAGGTAGAAATGGGCTGGTTTGCCTAGCAGAGGCAGCCTGGTTGCAAAGGCACATGGCTCACCTACACTAACTAATTTTATGTTTCTTACCAAAATTAAATGGTCTGCCACAACAAAGTCTGGTGAATAGATGCACCACTCTTTGCTGTCTTGCAAAAGAGGTTATTCTAGACTTCACTCAAGATTTACCACCCCAAAAATAAAGGAGGACACATTATTACCTTCTGACATAAAATAGGGGATTCTGAATCTTCCTTCCAGAACTCGTTGCCTCAGTATGGGGAGCGTTGGTCCATCAAAAGGTAATGCTCCACAGACCAAAACATAAAGAACTACACCCATGCTCTGTAAGAAAGAGAACGCTCATTTTGTCTTTCAAGTCACAAGCAAAATTGTCTGAGCTTGGCTAGCCAACTCCTATCACAGAAAAAAACCAAAATTCTGTTCTGCAGAAACAGGAAAAATACAGAAAAAGCAGTTACATTTCTGAAAATCCCTAAACATTAAGAACACTCAGCTAACCTAAGATGGCTAGACTTGCAGTACCTTGTGCTGATAAGCAGGTAAGCTGAAGTGTAATAGGCTAGAGACTCTGGCTGCTAGCAGGAAGCTCCGCACAGGTGACTGAGTGATACCTGAAAAGTGAGCCCCAACTTCTGATGAGAATTAGAGACAATCTTTATTAACCTGAACTTTCCTCAAGCAAAAACAAACCTCAAATAGCAGCTACTCAAAGTAAGAAATTGCAACCTTTTACCAATTTGCAGAAGCCTAGGGAGGAAGTACACTGGTAGCTTTATGAACAGCGTTGGCTTCAGGGAGACTCCAATTAGTGATTCTGCACTGCTGTGTGCAGTGCTGAGCACGAGGGATTATGTAAAATGAGCAAAAGGAGACAATCTGGGCAAGAGCTCTCATCCAACTGCCAGGCTCATTTTTGAAAGTATGCAAGCTAATTGGCACTGCAAGTGGAAATAGTCTTGCAGCATAGCCAAAAAAAATTATAGCGCCACACTAGATGAAATAACTACACCAGACCCTCATGCCACGAGTTGGCATAGTTAGCCACAGCACTGGATTTCTCAAGGGGAAAAAAAGTAAGCATTGCACATTCACCTTAGAATTTTGCTAAGTACATAAAGATTTTAAAGACTGAATATATATTTTTAAAAGTCCCTTCCTTCCTTCCTTCCCCCGACAAGAGCTGAACTGTGGATTGTTGCATTCCTCCTGCAAGCTTAGCTCTTTCAGCTGACCTACTCTGTGATGAGCTGTTGCAAAAGAAATACAGAATCCTGAACTCATTTGAGAAGGTAAGTGAAGGAGATAATTTTATCATCGTAAATATAAGCACACTCGTGCTTCTCTTTGTGAGCAGGCAGATTATGTTAATGATTTCGGATCTTAAATATTTAAAGAAATATTTAACAAAGCTCTGAGATTCACTTCTGCCATTCAAACAGTGTCTGTGTTACCAGAAACAATGAGTATAGCTGGTCTACTGCAGCATTATCTGGCAATTACAGATGGTTCAGAAAGGTTGTAGCCTTTATTCTTTTTTTTTTAAATTGAGACCTATATATAGATATATAGATATATTGATATCGAGAGATATCAATAAATAGCTAAGGAGTGTTTTTGTTAAAACAATTAGATTATATTAGATTAGCAGCTGAAAGATGAATTTCCATGCCGGTGAACAGGCTCTGACCAAAACATCAGCGCCTGTGTTGTTATGATATATGCAATATTATCACTGCAAACCTGACGTCAGAGCAAAGACTGCCAAATTGTGTTCTGCTTCTGGTTACTTCAGGATATGGATCTGTCATTGTAAGTACCAGAACACTAAAATTAAAAGAAAAACATATGAGGAATGAAAAGCCGTCTCTGACAATTCATGAAGGGTGCAGAGAACCTGTTCAGCTCATTTTAGTCCCTTTTTCATTGCATGAGAATTTAGTTGCTCTCTCTGTGCTCTTCCATTGCAGTAGTATGCATGGAGATACACACATGGATTCAAAAACATGCAGCTGCCTGCAGTAGAAAGGCTTGTGGCACCAGCGTGACTGTTCTCAGCTCAGAGAGAACAGCAGTGAGTTCTCTCTCTTATGTTTCAGTGGCTCAGAATCCCTTTAAGCTCCTCAAGAACATACACGCCTTACAAGTTCAATTCCCACTTAACACAGAAAATGTCCAATGCAGTGAAACAGCAAAGTTCATGCATTCAGTCAGGAGAGCTATTTGAGGAGCTACAGTTTTTCCTCTGGTGGGCTTACGTATTCCTACAACGTACATTGAATGGCCACTTAATTGTTAACTTCAATCCCATTCTATGTTATTTTATGATGCTTTCAAGAAATAAAGTCAAATAGAAACAGCTTGTCTGCAGCTTAAGAAAACTCAAAAGTGATTACTGTGGTTTAAATTCCTAAAAGCTGATTTAAATTCAGTTAAAAAAGGAGTAACGATACCCAGATATCCAGCTGGGGTCCCTCGTATTGCTGTCCTTCAAAGACTTCTGGGGCTGCATAAGGTGGGCTTCCACACCACGTCGTCAGAGGCTCGCCACTTTTATAGAAATTTCCAAAGCCAAAATCTGTTGAGAAATTAAGGAAAAAGTCACTTCAAACATCCACTTACCCGTCAAACTTAATTATATGCAAGGATTGGGCCTGAAAGCTCACCTTTGTTCATCAAAGGCTCTCTCACAAAGTCTTTCAGCAGTACTCCCACTAAAAGTAGTTACTGGGATGCTGAATGTCCTACGTTATTATTTTCATGACAACTGCATAATTATTAAAACCCTCTGCAAACCTTCACAACCCGTAGGAGTTTTCAGTTAACTTCTACCAATTTGCTAAATCTAAGTTTATGAACACTTATCCCTAGAATTCAGCAAAACGGAGATCAGACATACATATGAGCTATTTACTTGCCAAGAAATATCTGAGATTCAGTACTGGATCTGAGATTTCCTGAGTTTTCTTTGGGTGCTCTCTAGCCTTGAATACACAACAAATATTGACAACAAAAGCATCGACAGTGGAGATGGGAGGAAGGAGCTTTGCCAAAAGCAACAAGCATGGGAAAACACAGCCTTCTGCTAGGAAGGAAGCTCTGCTACTGGGATTGTCTGCAACCCTTTCAGTCTACAACTGAACACTTATTCTACAACTCAGCATTTTTTTTAAAAATGTTCTTTATGGCTTAACGAGAGACTTCTGTATTAGTCCCAATTCGTAATAATCCAATAGTGAAAAGTGAAGTGGCAGTCACTGGTGAATAGGGAACATTAAGTCAGAGAAAGTACTGAAGCAATTTGTATAGCTTCCCCTGTTGCTTCTCTCCCAGGCTGTGTAGCTTTTACTGAAAAAAAAAAACCCAGCAAACAACATTAGCAATGAGGAACCTGGCTTAGTGGCTGAACTAAAGCTGATTATTTTCAAAAAGCAGAATGCCAAGTGGGCGGGCGTACCACCCCCCAGTGTCCAATCTGTAGCTCTCTCAACTCCCACTCCACCCTTATCAGTGTCTTCGGAGCTCTTCACAGCCTGGACCTTCCAGTTCCTCTTACATCCTGCCATCTCTCGCGCTCCCTTCGCTTAGTTCAAATTTCGTTTGCTTTAGCAGTCCCTGCTCTTACTGCCTCCTGATTGTCCCTCCTATGTCCGTTTCACACACCCATTCTAAATACGCTCTTTCCATGACACTATGCAGTATTAATACACAGAGTCCTACTTATTCTACAGTCTTTTAATAAAAGACACTGGAGCGCTGTATTTGGAAACACAATGAATCAAAATCCTGGCTCCACTAAAGTCTAGGGGAGTTTCCTCATTAAATTCAGTGAAGCCAACATTTCTCCCTCTTGCTTCCAGTATTACTGGTCAGTATTGTTTAGTCTCCTCTTCCACTCACGCTACAGACCACTCTCCACGTTCTCTGTGAAAACAAATGCTGTTAATGCTTAAAAACGACGTTCTCAAGGTGAAAGATCTGACAAAGACAAATATTTCTGGATGAAAGACTTTCAAGACTACAGCAAACTGGCTTCAATTTGCTAACTGCTCAGCTGTATCTCTGAAGGAAGTACAGAATGGAGCATTAGCAGGTAACATGCAAAGACCCTCAAGTCCATGTTCTTTGTACAACAACAAAGCTGTTTATGCTCACCACTGGTCTACCCCTGTGTTAATAATGATTTAGCTCTTCCCTGCCACTTTCTCCTAACTAGAGCAAGCTATACAGTAGAAGGCTACAAGTTGCTTTGGGTTTATTTTTATAAGGATAATGCTTTACCCTAGTAGCCAGCCAGGCTCCTGCAAAGTAATACTGCATGCTGGCATGACTCGAGGAATCCTGTGAAAGTCAGCAGTGTTGATATACTGTAATCAGGCTGTTGATTTAGTCCTATCAACCACTGAATACCTCAGAGGTATGTTAATACGATGTGGCACTGATCAGCAGATAGCAGCACTGATAAACACTGTGGTTAGCAGAAATGGTGGTACAGGCACTGCTGGTACCACTTTGTTTAGGTCTATTTGCATAGGCTCTTTTACATAGAAGAAAAGGCTTGGCTCTCTCTTCATATGTTGTGAGCTATAAAATATTAGAGAACCTCAGAATCAAAGGAGGACAGAGATATTAAACAGGAAAACTGAACAGGCATAAAGAAAGTCAACGTGGAGTTGCTTTAGAGGAGCAAAATGGAAACTAAAACATACAACTTGTTCAACAGAAAAGGTAATTAATTTTTTTCCTCACGAAATGGCACAAGAGCTCCAGCAATTCATTTCATATACTGCTTCCTGATACATGCATCAAAAATGAGCACCGACAGAAGTAGCAGTTTCAGGAACATCAAAACTGAAGAGGCTTTAGAGCAGTTCTCCTGCCTTTCAAGATTTTCCTTAGCAGGTATAAAGTTGCTTCTGCAACCACTTCCACAAGTAAGACTTACCATTCAGTGCCTGAACATCTACACATGAACCTGCAGGAATGTTTCTTCCCTTTGAGATTTTGGCATTCTGTCAAATTTGGTTACAGTCAAGCAACAGGTTCAAAAGCTACCTGGGCCACATGCACAAACAGCATGATCTCACAGGCCTTTTGGCTGTTTCTAATAAATGATTCTTTTAACTAAAAGTTGAGTGAAGATTTCATCAAGAAACACACCTCTGCTTCCTTACTGCACTGCATTATAGATTCTCTATTAGTTAATCGGTACGACTAAAATAAGCAGGATATTTTTAATTGGCTTTAATGAAATGCACTAATTAGGAATAAGAGAGAGCCAAGACTATGCAACCAACCAGCTCTCAGTACAGAAATCTCTACAATGGGTAACACACGCTGTAAGTTAATAGAAACAGTCACTATTTTGTGCAACAGTAATGTTCCAGAGGGCATTCGTATTATAAACTGGCCCTCTTTACATACCTTACGATGATGATCCGTTTGATTCCGGTAAGCGGCTGGTGACTGTAGAACAGCCACAGTTATACACACACAATTCATGTCATTCTGTCTCGTTTTATCCCGTGTCTTTCCAAAGCTCATTTGAGGCAATCTTGAAGGAACAGCTAGACACAGCAATGTAAATGTCTGACCTGACTTACACCTGTTCTCAGTGGGGTTCTTCCACAGAAACTTCATCTTTGAAAATATCTTGCAATGTGTATAATTGCTCTTTTTGTTCAGGAATTTCAAAACATTTGTTATGGAACTAGTCTCTCTTATCGGGGTTTTAGTATGTTAAACAGCATACCAATTTTACAGGTGAGGCCAGTGGAGCAGAGAAGTTAAAAGACTAACCCCAATTCAGGTAACAAGTCAGTGATGACCCAGCCCAGGGCCAGGAATAACTGAAGCGCCCGACTGTTCTCTAAACACCAAATAGAAACTTCTCACTCTGCTGAAAACCTCTGCCTAGGCATTTCCACAGCCTGAAATTCAATGCTGTACCTCTGCTATAACCTTTCTGTCACCTCTAATATACATCATGTGCTCTGGGAACATCTCAGTCCAGTGACCTGAATACATCAGGGTATAAGGGGAAGTGCTAAGTCTCATTTCCTTTTATAAACATTAGCCTTATGCCTTTTTTCCTTGGTTGTAGCTGTATGGTCTGACACCCTGCACATACTTCATCAGTATCTCATCAACTTACTGGAAATTACCTTTTCTTTTAAACTAACTAACCATTCTGTGCAAAAGACATTACAGGGATTTCTGAATTTGCTGTCTTAAGAGAACGAGCCTAAAAATAAGCAGGATAGTTTGTTTAGGATAGTCTATGGGATGATAAAGATATCGGCCTCATTGTCAGCAGCAGCAAACTCATGTTGAAAACACAGGAAAATGGGCTACCTTCATCTCCTTGACCACACGCGTGAAGCTCCTGGGCCCAACCCAAAGCAGTCAAAAGGCATGCCCTTTATCTGTCCAGATCCCACACACAAACTAGGCCAGGGGCTGAGCCCACCACGCACCATTCTATACCAGGCAGTCAAAGACTTCTCCTGGGTTTGCACTAATCCTGCAGCTATCCACCCAGGAAAACCTCTGACTTGGATCTGGAAGTACTCTGAAAACACAGGCTTGCTTACACAGAGAGACGTGCAGGTTACTGCTCTGGCTCCTTGTGCGCCCCAGGTGAAATCCACCACCTCTGTAGCAACGACAAGAGCTCTGGTGCCTATAACCCTCCCAAGCCATTCTCATAATTCCTCTCGCAGAGAACGAAGTCTCTGATCTTCAGCTGTCTGGGAAACAATCCTGAATTACCTCAGCATAGCGTCACAGGATACATCCCCAGAGACATTTGACAACTGCACAACTGCTAACTGCACAATGAGGAGGTCTTTGCTGCGGGAATTCTCGTGTGCAGATGAGCCGCACCAAGGAGTCATTTTGGGACACTCACTTCCGATACATAGCAGATAAAGGGCATAAAATAGAATATTCCTGCTCCTTTACTGGAAAGTTCAAAATAACTGTGGGATTGAGTTTGCCAGGACGTTATAAAGCACTAACAATAAGGGCAACATCTGCATTTTAAAAGTCTGAAAACACTCGGCATGCCAATTCCTCTACAACAAAAATTCTGCAAAGGCTCAGGTCCTTAATTGCCCTACGAATAGTATCTGCATTTAAGTAGTCAATCCTTGGAGCTGTTCTGCAGGTGTATTTATTAATGAGAAACAGTGTCACCCACAGTCATAAAATTAATTCTTTTCACTTCTTATCTCAAACTAACCGTACCCATTATTTGCATACACATAAAGCGGGAACAGACACCTCTTAGATCCTAGGGTTTTCTCACTGGGAAAGAGGACTAAAATGTAAGTGAATGGACCTCATCTTTGCGTGTTTTTCCATCCTACTTCTTAGATATTGAATTCACCCTCTCAGTTGAATTCTAAAACTGTCACCCTGCCTTTGGGGTCGCACTTAATGATCTGTCTTCCAAACTGTCTCTGGCAACAGAGCAAGCTAACGCTAGCCAAGTCAGAGGAACGTTTGTACAGTATCTTTTTACTTCATAAAATATTATGTGTGGTCAGGATCCTCTGCCTTTCATTATTATTTGTC